TGTGACATTTCAGTAGAAAATTGACAAATTGTATGAGCATTTAAAATGAAGCAGCAAGAACTGGCCTATATATGTAAGAAATCTTGGTTTTTATAGAAAAAATGTAAATTATTGCACTATTAAATATTTCTTGACTTATAACACAAATCATAAATTATAATTATAAACTGTAATGCTGAAGATGTTGCTATCTTATAGATAAGATTGAGAATAAAGAAATAACGAAAGAAAAGGAAAAAAAAGGAAGGAAAAACACTTCATATTTTTAGCACTTTGTGGCATGATGCATATGTAACTTCTTCTGGAGATTAATTTTTGGTACACATTAAAACAATGAAAACGTTTCTGCTTATTTAACTCAGTCAACTCTACTGCCATGCATTTATGTCAAAGATACAATCAAGAATGTTCACAAATATTTATTTATAATTATACAAAGCTATCTCAGTTTATCAGAGTGAAAAATTAGAAATATTTTGCAATTAAAAATATAAGAATTGAGGGGCCGGCCAGATAGCTCAGCACAAAAATTACCTGCTTTGGCAAGCACAGAGACCAGGGTTCTATCTTACATTTGATGCCTGTAAGGTTCAAACTGAATGTCACATATTTTTTGGAAGCCAAAATTCTGAGCAATATGTGACAAAGATTAGAAATTACTTTTACAATAGTGAGGTTTCAGATGATTCTTACTTGCTTTTTAATAAAATGAAATGTTTACATGCTTGATTCTACATCCTCTTACATGTAACTAAAAGGGAAGATTCTTTCCCTGTAATCTGTTTAATACTTTTATTAAACAAAATCTCTATGGCAACATTAATCATATTTTAAGTAACAAAAGAACAAACTGCATCTTAAATTATTTTATTGGGTTAGACAGATAGCTCAGCGGTCTAAGCCCCTGCCTGCCAAACGCAAGGACCAGAGTTCTATCCCTGCTACTGCATGCTGTGCCAGCCCTGTGCCGTGGGAGCCACTGAAACCAGGCGTGGTGGTACCCTGTAATCCCAGACATGGGATATTAAATATGAATATTAAAATCTTTTGTTTTTCATGTTTTCTGGTATTTTTAAACTGTGCAAAGTAAATATGAATTCTTTTTTGAAAAAAAGTACAAGAGGCAAAAACAATAGAAAGTGCCTGAATATCAGATGAGAATGCTGCAGCTAATGTTTAAAATAAAGTGATGATCATTTGTCTATATAGGTTGTGAAAAGGAATCTGGATCATCCATGTGGATCTATGTTCTAATGGGCAACATGCTTCGTGGAATAGGAGAAACCCCTATTGCACCGCTGGGAATTTCTTATATTGATGACTTTGCTAAAGCAGGACAATCCCCTCTTTATTTAGGTAATGCATAGAAAATATTAGATGGAATGATTATTTTTCCCCATGTCTACCTTGGAAATCATAATGTTATTTTAATATTAGAGGTGGATTAAGGGTGGGGGTAAAAAAATAATATTAGTATTAAGAATTTTATCTGGAAAAGTTGTTTGGAGAAACTGTCATGATACTTCAGAAAATATACTTAACAAGAACTCTGTGTTCTTGGGAGATACTCAGATGACTTTGTGGTATTTACAGGCATTTTGCATTCAACGGCGATGTTTGGCTTGATCTGTGCCTTTCTGATCGGAGCTCTATTTACTAGAATGTATGTGGACACTGGCTTTGTGGACCTGAGTAAGTATGAGGAGGAGAAGGTATCAGAGTGGAATCTTTTCAGAACCTGATACCATTCTACCAAATAGTTGAATTCCTTCTTCCAAAGTAGTTCTTTGTGTGCAACAACCCTTGTTGAATTCCTATTATTTTGTTTAGTGAAATTCCATATGAGTTCTAATGTTTTGTTTATTACTATTTTGTATTCTGTTTGAGAAATAAAAATATTAATCCTTTGCTTACCATTTCAAAAAGTTATAGGTTAAAAACAATGCATTAATAACCAAAATAAAAATATAAATAAGGTCTTAATGTATCACACTTTTACAAATGAATCCGAACTTAGAAACTTGTACCAATCTTGTCTTAGGTTAACTGAGCCAAATAAATTTAATATTTTTTCTTGAAACTAACCACTTAATCAAGGGAATTTCATTTTTTAGTTGATAATGGTTTGGATGTTGAAGCACAAATCTTAGTTTTCTTTGCTGAGGATGCCATGAATTTTCATGATTGACTGATGGTTCGAGTTTTTTGAGGGACTGTACAATGCCCTTTGATTTTAGTCACTTATGCTGGTCTTGGAAATAGTCAATAAGTGCTGTGGAACAAGTCAGGGAAAGTATATGCACATAGGCCTTAGGCCTCCTTTTCCTTCATGATCCTGAGAAGAAACTGTGACCATGGAATAGAAATGCCCTTGAATTCAAGCCCTCTCTCCACTATGTATACCTGTGCCACATCTATTTTCACCCTTTTTCCTGCTCTAGTGAGAAAGGTGTTCATCTATCTTCTATTGATGTTGGTGAATCCACCTGATAATCAGATTCCTTCTTTTCTGGAGTATCTAGTCCTATCCCTATTTGGCTGATCCATCCGGCATCTTCAGCTTTCCATCTCCAACCTCTCTACTCTCAGGAAACCCTCTCAAGCCTCTTAACTTTTTACACATTGTAAGACTTTTTATATTCCTAGCAAAGTTCTAACTGATTTGTTTTCTATTTCTCTTCAAAACCAAGCACCTTATAAAAATAATCCATGTTATTTGTTTTCATTCTCACTATTCAAGTTCTTAGCATATTTAAAAAATTTATTAATTATTTTGCTATTAAGTCTAAGGAATGCCATATATACACCATGTGGAATATTTTCTTCTACTCCATGGCTTCTGTTTATTCTTTCTTTCGTTGTGCCTCAGCTTTTAGTTTAAGCCCCACTTGCCTATTTTTTTACTTTTCTTGCGTGTGTAATAGTCATGAAGTGATGTGGTAGACTAGTGTTCTGAAACACATTGTTTACTTCAAAGGTTTTATTCTTCAAAGGTCTTGTGCTTCAGATTTTACTCATTTTGCACTGATTTTCTGTGGATAAGTTTTCAAATTCATGGTTTGAACATGGTATCCAGTTTTTCAGCTGTCCTTCAGTGACTATCTTCTCACTACGGTGCATCCATGGAAGCACTGTTGAAGATCAAATGATGGTACGTGTGTGTTAGCCTAGGCTCTCTATTCTGTTCCACTGGTCTATACATCTTTAACACAGTACTATGTCATGCTAAGTATTGTAATTTTAAAATATGTTTTACAAATGTGAGATCTCAACCGTTGCTCTTTTCCAAGATTATTTTTGGCTACTTGAGAGACCTTTTGTGGCTCCATACTAATTTTGCAACATTTTAACACTCAAATTGGAATGCTTCAGGGAGTTTAAGATATATGTTGAATCTGTATCCAATGCTTCCATGGATACACTGTAGATTGATTTAGACAGTGTGATTAATATTAGTAGTTTTTCAATCCTTAAACATTGTATGTCATTCCAATATGTAATATATTGTACATATTACAACTTTACTCAATTTGTTTATGCCATCCTATTTTTCTGGAGTCTTTATAGCTTTATATATTGAGCCATATTATCTGAAAATAAGGATAATTTAATTTTTAGATGCCTGTATTTATTTTGTTCTAACTTAAATTTTAATCAAGGACTTTCATCACTAAATTGAACAGAAATTATGATAACAATCATCCTTACCTTATTCTTTGTCTTAATGCAAACTTTTCAATATTTCACCCTTGAATTCTATGTTAGCTATGGGCCATTAATATGTGATTTTCATTACATTGACATAATTTCTTTCTGTTCCTCAATTTTTAGAAGTATTTAACATGAAAGCGTGTTTAATTTTATTAAATGTTTTTCTCCATTTAGTAAGACTCTCATTTGTTTCTGTCTTTTGTTAATGGAATACTATTCATCAATTAATTTTCATATATTAAGTGATCTTTTCATTCTAGTTTTAAATCCCATTTGTTCATAGAATAATATACCTGTTACTGCGGCCTTGAATTTCATATAGTGGATTTTTACAACAATAGCCCTCAAGAATAATGTTTTATTGTGTCTTCATTTTTCTATTAGGCCATAATGGCCACAGAGAGTGAGTTTCAGAGTGTCTCCTCCTCTCCAGTTTTTAAGAAATATTTGAAAATGGTTGTTCTTAATTCTTCCTTAAATGTTAAGTAGATTCACCAATAAAATCATCTAGCTCTGGATATGCCTTTGTCTGAAGTTCTTTTGATTACCGCTTCAGTGTCTTCACCAACTACAGCTCTGTTCCTAATTTTATTAAGTTAAGATTCAGTGTTGATAGGTTGCATGTCTCTAGGAATTTAGCCAACTCCAAATGATTTATCCATCTCCTAATGATATATCCATGTCTTAGTGATTACCAAACTTATTGGTATAAGTTATTCATAGTTTCTGTTAGTCATCATGCCATCAAGCATGATGTCTTTTGGTTGAGTATTTTCTTAGTATAGATAGAAGTTTAATTAATTTTGTTAATTTTCTTTGTATTCTAAAAAGTTCTTAATTTCTTGACTTTTTGTTGTCAAGCATTTTCATATCCTCAGTTTCATTCCATGTTTTGGCATATTGTATTTTTAATTTTGTTTCCATAAAAATGTTTTTCATTTTATCTTAAATATTTTCTTACACATATCAACTGATAACATATATATATATATGTTATCAGTATAACATGTATATATATATATACATGTGTTCTTCACATGTCTATAAGGTCCAATTATGGTGTAGTTCAAATACCTCTACTGAGTCTAAGCACAATAAAAAGTGGTATGCTGAACTCTATTATTATTATTGTGGTTTTCTGTTTCTCAATTTAGTTTTGTCAAAGTTTTTTTATATATTCAGTTGCAGATATATGTTCATCATTACTGAAGGTTGGTGAATTGATACCTGTATCATTGGAAAATATTTTGCTTTGCCTCAAGCCTGTTTTAAAATCAATGCTATGGGGCTGGTGAGATGGCTCAGTGGTCTAAAGCACCTACCTAAAGCAAGCTTAGCAAAGCACAGAGACCACGGTTCAATCCCCCGGCCCCACATGCCAGCCAGCCACGCCCCCTGGTGGGCTGAGCTGGCCACACACAAACACACACACACACAAATAAAAATAAAAATTAAAAAAAATTAAAAAATAAAATCAATGCTATGCCATTGATATATTTCTATCCCTGTTCTTTTTGATTAGTGCTTGCATTGGATGTCTTCTAACCTGCCATTTTTATCCTGTGTGTCCAATAACACCTTGTCTTACATGCATAATTTAGTTCAGAAGCAAGCTTGTAATCAAAAGTACTTGTATTTCAAAGAAAATTTCCCCATAAGGAATAATGGAAACTCAGACAATTCATTCCATAACCCAAAAATATTCATAGAGAAATGATGACAACAATGTAGTATAATACAAAGTAAAATATATATA